TTGTTTAACAATCTTATCACGTGAATATCTTTGGTATTACATTGTTTAACAATCTTATCACGTGAATATCTTTGGTATTACATTGTTTAACAATCTTATCACGTGAATATCTTTGGTATTACATTGTTTAACAATCTTATCACGTGAATATCTTTGGTATTACATTGTTTAACAATCTTATCACGTGAATATCTTTGGTATTACATTGTATAACAATCTTATTATGTGAATAGTGTTATGTTTCAGTGATCATATCTATGTAAACATAAAATTGTGTTTCTGCAGTAAGTGCCTTTTGATATTTTGTATAGTTATGTGAGATTATGAGAACTTCACTTTTTCAGACTAATTCTTTGTAGTTTGTAAAGCTTAACACTTTATCAGATTAGTTCTGTGCTGTTTGTAGAGTAAAACACCATATCAAACTAGTTATATGTTGTTTGTAGAGTACAACACCTTATCATACTAGTTCTATGTTGTTTGTAGAGTACAACACCTTATCAGACTAGTTCTATGTTGTTTGTAGAGTACAACACCTTATCTGACTAGTTCTATGTTGTTTGTAGAGTACAACACCTTATCATACTAGTTATATGTTGTTTGTAGAGTACAACACCTTATCAGACTAGTTCTATGTTGTTTGTAGAGTACAACACCTTATCAGACTAGTTCTATGTTGTTTGTAGAGTACAACACCTTATCAGACTAGTTCTATGTTGTTTGTAGAGTAAAACACCATATCAAACTAGTTCTATGTTGTTTGTAGAGTACAACACCTTATCAGACTAGTTCTATGTTGTTTGTAGAGTACAACACCTTATCAGGCTAGTTCTATGTTGTTTGTAGAGTACAACACCTTATCAGACTATTTCTATGTTGTTTGTAGAGTACAACACCTTGTCAGACTAGTTCTTTGTTGTTTGTAGAGCACAACACCTTATCAGACTAGTTCTATGTTGTTTATAGAGCACAACACCTTATCAGACTAGTTCTATGTTGTTTGTAGAGTACAACACCTTATCAGTCTAGTTATATGTTGTTTGTAGAGTACAACACCATATCAGACTAGTTCTATGTTGTTTGTAAAGTGTAAATCATGCTTTTGTGTTTTTTCCAGCACAGCAGCTCATCATGTAGAACAGGCTATGGCTATGGCACAAAGGAATACAAAAGATAAAGATACTGGTTTGTTACACAGTCTTCTTAATGCTGAAGGCTTGGGGAAAAAAGATATTCAGCTAACAATTATTGATTTCATAGCTGGAGGAGTTTTTACTGTAAGTTTTACCA